CCGGAATTGAGTTTCAAGATTTCAGTAATTCCATAACAGCATATAGATCTACGAGGTAGTGCAATGATGTTGGCATTTGCAAGGTTGTAACAGGACTCAAACCAACTGTGTTTATATAGTATACACCCGCGCATGCACATATAGTATATCTCTCTAAGTATCCATCTATCTTTCTATTGCACACATTTGTTTATTAACTAATACATACTGCATACATTTATATTCGACACAAATTCTCCATGCATGCATGTGCTCAGTATTCGGCCATCTGCCTAGCAAATAAATGCATCATGCATATTCTTCATTCAACAATTGGAAACAGGCATCCATGTATGTATCTATTGCTTATGTTTAATAGTGTATCCAATATCGTCATCGTCATCATGTGTGCCTTTTCCCATCAAGATATTTTCATTTATGGAGCGTGAAAACATCTTGAAGTGCCATAGTTTTGGCTAGACCTTACTAGTGGCTATCATCCTGACATCAAGCCTTGAAGTGCCAAAGTTTCGGCTGGAAAAACTATAGAAAGAGGGGCTTTCCTTAAGCCTGAGTACCACTTTCAATCCTCTGAATTCTTCTGCACTCTAGAAGATGGGAAAAGATGATAGATTTTCATTTTGTAGGGAGTTGTATTCTAAGGCATCGATGAAGCCAAAAGCCAAATAAAACACATTTTCGCGCGTAATCATGTATGCATACGAGGAAAAATGTTCAAAGTTGGAGGAGTTACACGAGTTAGTTAACATGACATGCTTGCACTGTCAGTTCTCGTTATTTATTTTGCTGCATCAGAAGTTCTCTCGTGGTATTCTTATTGATGGGTATAGATTCTTTTTTCAGAAAAATTGGAGATGAGCGTGAGTATTTTGTGAAATGGAAGGAGCTTGGTTATGAGAACTGTTCGTGGGAAGTCGAATCTGACATTTCTGCCTTCCAACCTCAAATTGAAAAGTTTAAGGTAATTCAATCTAGGCGTCGAAAGAGATCTCTTGGTAAAACTAAGAATATAACCCAGGATGCAAAGGATTCAAAGCTCAATTCAAGTCGGGAATCGAAGGATATAAAGAATAAGCAAAAAGAATTTCGACAGTATGATCAGACCCCTGAGTTTCTTTCTGGCGGTATGCATACCTTTCATCTCATGCTGATAATGAAGTCTATTATGGTTTTTGTTTTTATTTGCTTTAATTAATTTGGTTAAATTTTGAAATATTAATTGTTTTCCGGATTATTATAGGGACATTACATCCATATCAGCTGGAAGGTTTAAATTTTCTATGCTATTCATGGTCTAAGAAAACACATGTGATCCTTGCAGATGAGATGGGCCTTGGTATGCATATAATTGTGGTATCTGTTTCTTCTCAAGAATCTTATATTAAAATTTATAAATGTAATATGCTTATCTGTTGTCTACAGGCAAAACAATACAGAGTATTGCTTTTGTTGCTTCTCTTTTTGAAGATAACCTATATCCTCACTTAGTAGTGGCACCACTTTCTACACTGAGAAACTGGGAGCGCGAGTTTGCAACTTGGGCCCCTCAACTGAATGTTGTAAGTGAGGAGCTTAATTCTACCCAAGAAGTATATCCAGCTGATTATTTCGATACTGTTATGGCTATAACTCGATTTAAACCTATACTAGGTTATGTATGCTGGATCTGCTCAAGCTCGTGCTATTGCCAGACAATATGAGTTTTACTACCCAAAAGAGGGGAAAAAGGGGCAGAAGAAAAAGAAAGCTTCGAAGGATGCTTCCCCAAGCAAGCAAGCGAGAATAAAGTTTGATGTTCTTTTAACATCTTTTGAAATGATCAACATGGATTCATCTTCTCTGAAACCAATCGAGTGGGAATCTATGGTAATAGTTACCTCTTTATTCTATAACTAATATTCTATTCTGATTCATACTCCCTCTTCTTTATTTAGATTGTAGATGAGGGGCATCGCCTTAAGAATAAAGATTCCAAATTGTTTCTTCAACTAAAACTGTATACAACTAAGCATCGGGTACTTTTGACTGGAACCCCTCTTCAGGTTCGTTTCCTTTTCTTTTAAGGCTTTGACACTTATCGAAATACTTTAAAGGTTTCAAAAACTTGGGTCATGTTGCTTTTTTGGCTTCGAAGGTTGCTGGGAATTTAAGAACTGATACTTTGCTCGAACCCTCATTAAGAGACATTTAAACTTTTTACTGTAAGTTTTACTGCTGGTGTCAATGATATGCAATGGTCATTACCAGTTGAAATTAGTTCTAGCTTCTAATACTTTTCCCCCATTACTTTAGTACCATCATTGTTATTACCATCTATAGCTTTCCTATTCATATCAAGAATTACGGTGGAAGATTTCTCTTTGATGGTTGGCGTCCAATTCCTTGCCAATAAAACATCAGGAGAGGGTAGAAGTTACAGAACCTAGTAGCTAAGCAAGGAGGTAGGAACCTACTTCATAGATTATGTATTCATGCAACCAAGTGTGATCCTCCAAGGTTCTTCTGGGTTGAGGACTCTAAGAAGGGTTGATGTCTATGAACTTGCTATGTTTATTATATTCATCTCCAAGCCATGAGTGTACTTAAGTTTTTGATGAGATATGTGTTTTCACCGCTTTCAAGCAAATAGATTCTGTTATCTAATTTGGCTGTGTGATTTGAGGAAAAAAGTTTGTTGTAAAGCATAGATTAGTGACCCGTGATTTGATAAAGGATTGTTTGGACTTGTCAATTGGAAACATAGAAAGCTCACTCATGCATTCTCCTTTTCTCCCTCCTTTTTTCTCTCTCCTTTTCTCCTCTTGTGTGACCTTTCCACAATCTGACCTCTAGTGAAACATTTCCTTCTTTCTGTCATGGTTTATATCTAAACTTTTTGATGCATCTTATTCTTATCAAAATTTCTTTTACCAAATTTATTTCAGATAACCATCGTTCTCGTAAAATAGTTAAATTATGAAGAACCAAAAAAAAAAAAAAAAATCCAAACTACATGCAAAGTTTTCTGTTAGAGGCACTTTTAGATAAATCCATGTAGGCCTTACTTATAATAAAAAAACAACGGCAGAAGCACCTGTATGCAACAGTGCTTAACAGAGAGGTCCATTGTCCATTATTTTGTAATACCTTCAGAATTTAGTTCTATTTGGGGAAATATCAGACGGCCGAAATCCATACCGGGTTGCTGATATTGGGGATATGTTGAAAATATCAGAGTACCCTATTTGATGATGTGCATATATACTATAATGTTCTAAATATAAATATAATCTAAACATATGTAATGAAGTCTAAGCATACTAAAATGTAAATAATATATGTTTAGGATCATTAACAAATTGTAAAAAATTACCTAGTGAAAAGGGTGTGCTAGCATTTGCTAAATAACTTCATAAGCTAGAAATTCGCTAATAATATTAAAGAATTTTGGTGAACTATATTGTTTTGTGACGAGCCATATAAAAGGATATATCAACTAACATACCGGCTGATATACGGATCATGTCAGAGATATATCACTCTAAAATTGCCAAAAACTGAGAAAAGATATTAGGACCATATCGTTTTGCGGCGATTATAAAAGAATATATCTGCCAATATATCTGCTACATTGGGGATATCGGGGTTCAAATGATTGATCCTTTGCTATTATACTTCTTACAACATTCAACTAATCAATTATTTTAGAGTATTTTGAAAGTGTTACTTGTTAAACATTAATAAACGGACAAAATTAACCACTTAGTCTTTTCACAAATTTCTTCTATGACATGCTATTTGATATTCGTCAAACTCTTTATGTGGTACAACCATACCTTTTTGTCTAAGATGTGAATACTTTATAGTTTGTTTGAAGCTCGAATACTTCATCAATATCATTAATGTTTGACCTTTTACAAAGTCCTTTAAACTCATTTACTGCCTTTTTCATTCTCTCAGAATAACCTTGACGAGTTATTCATGCTCATGCATTTTCTCGACGATGGAAAGGTTAGTACTTTTGCTACTTTATTTTGATATGAACACACTTGTACATTAAATTATAATATTTCTGCAAAGCAACATCCATTGGCGCCAATGTTATTTGCATCTAGTCCATTTTGTGAATCATCATCATTCAGTTGTGTGGTTATATCTAGTTTATTGTTATCTGTTACTTAGCCAACTGAAGATCATCATATATTTATAATTGGCAATTGCATTTATGGGTGTCTCAATTGTGAGTTGTCATCAATTGGAAAGCTAAAATTAGAATTGACGTTTTCCTAGGTATATCATAGTTTGCCATTTTGTAAAAGAACTGCATTGTATATAATTTAGCTTCCAGAAGTGATATCTCTCTTGGTGGCACATGCTTAGGTGTGATATTTTGTGTGCAAATATATGTAACACCTAATGTTAGTCTATGTGGTTGATTATTCTTCTAGTTTCAAAGCATAGAGGACTTTCAAAAGGAATTCAAGGATATCAATCAAGAAGAACAAATATCAAGGCTTCACAAGATGCTGGCGCCGCACCTTCTCCGAAGTATTATTTTTTTACTTAATTCGTTATTGGTAAAGTATAGTCTGCTAAAACAAGTAGATTTATGCCCTTCTGTTATGTTTAAGCTTATGAATTCTTGAGTGTTGAGGTATCTGATATTTCCCATTGGTATGGAAGGCGTGTATTGCACATTCTATACGTACATTCCACAAAAATTATTCAATCATCTGCTTTACCAATTTTTATTGAATTACTCCCCATGTAGTATTGGTAAAGACCCACTTTTATTTTCATCACAATTGTTGCCTCGTATCCTTCTATGGGTGCTCATTTTGTGTGTTTATGATGGTGTATAAATGTGTTCTGGATGTCACTTGTGCATTTTTTGTAGGATGTTTGGAATTGGTTCTAGCATGTTTGTTCCCCCACCCCCAAAATCTGGTATCAAAAGGATTCATTCGGTTGGGTGAATTTTTCGGCTATTTCTCTGTAGCTGTTACTTGTCTTTCCTTTTGTCCTGTGTTCTAAGGTTTATTCTTTTCTTTTCCAGTTCAAAGCGGTTTTGTGAAGTCTAGATAATTATTGTTTCTATTGGGAATGAGAAGTTCTTTGAGTATTTGAAATATGAAAATCCCTTGAGGTTCTATCTCTTCATTCAATTCAGTTGCTTATCCCTTTGCAGCAGTATATAGTGGTTCTTTGACATTTAAAAAAAACCGTGGCTCTTCATACGTGCCCCATAAGTCATGGATTCTGATTCTTGCAACCCTCTGACTGGCTTCACTGTTAAACACTGCAAGTGTTTGCTTGGGATATATTTTTATACCAAATATATTAATATACTAAATTAGCAATCTTAAGTGAAGTATCTGAATTTTAATTCACTCTTGTTTTATGTAGATTATGAAATTAACTTCTTCATTTCGATTTTCGACATTAGGATAACATCCTAACTTGGTGATATTCTCTTGCGCACCTGCAGGAGTCAAGAAAGATGTCATGAAGGATCTTCCACCTAAGAAGGAACTGATTTTACGTGTGGATTTAAGTAGCAAACAGAAAGAATATTACAAGGCCATTCTTACTCGAAACTACCAGATATTAGCTCGTCGTGGTGGTGCACAGGTGCAATTTAGCACGTAAATTGAGGTTCTTTATCTGCTGTATTGTGTTAATAACTAGTTAGCTTTCATCCTTTAGATATCACTCATGAATGTTGTTATGGAGCTCCGAAAGCTTTGCTGCCATGCCTTCATGTTAGAAGGTGTAGAACCAGATGTCGAACCCGCAGACGTGGATGAAGGTCTAAGGTGACTGGTGCTTTGCTTAATCAGTAACTTCTATTTGTAATTGGAATGTTGTTATCTTCTGTCTGTTGGATACGATACCATGTAGCTTGTTTAGGAGAAAAGTGATTTTTATAGTGTAATTTTATTTCAAAGATGATTAATAACCTATAGTTTTACTAATACCATATTGTTGTTGTTTAATTCAAAGGTTTCTCAATTTTTCTTAGTCAGAATCTTACAAATTTTAGAACCTGAGGAAGTTCTGAGATGAAAAGAGTAATCTTTACAACAGATGTAGGTAGCAAGAAACTTTGATCAGTTAGATTCTCCCTCTAAAATTTCTGGAATTGGCTTCCATCATCACTTAAGTCCTTGGGGTCTTAACCTAAGCGGCCAACCTGTAAACCTCAGTTGTCAATAAATCCTCAATAGTCCAAATCTGAAATAAAGCCCAATTTCCTTAACACCACCCATAAGAACACTTGCAAACCCATGTAAAAAGCACAGAAGAGTGACAATTAGTTGGGTGGTCAACCATCGGACATCTTCTGTAAGTCTTTGAATGGGTGAGGTCAAGACTAATGGGCCATGCAGCAGATTAAAAGCTTAAAGGTTGAGTTTAAAAATTTTGCGCATTACTATGAATTCTCAGGTAATCTCTGATTGTGTCCTTGTGTTGCATATGTAATGTTATTTGCATGATAAATGATCATTGATATCTCCTGTTTTTGCTTGTTTATCTCACGAAAATGTTATCACTATAGTTTTCATGGCAACACAAACATGAAATTTGTGTTAAAAATATGATTTAAGATATAACATGGCCATTGTAGAAATAAGTTTATTCTTATTGATCTTAACATATTTGGAAAACTGGTTTTGCTATTGTAGACTATACATGACATGTGAATTTTCTAAATGATAGCATTGTTAGTTGGTGAGTCGTGCTGATAAAAAAAAAGTCACATGCGTATCAGGACTATCACGTGGATATTGATGTTGTAGGCATATCGCCATTCTCTGTGATCTAGTTGAGATATTATGATACAGTCTGATCATCTCTGTAGGCAGCATGGACCAAATAGACGGTTGTAGGCATTTTAATTTCTCGACAAGAATGTTGTTCCAAATGCAGATAATAACTTTGTTACAAGCATGGTTTTCTTTATATAAATTATTGATTGCCTAGTACTTATTGAGCATGTGGAAAGCTCACATCTAAAACAAACAACATTTAATATTGTCGTGTCTTGAGAAATTGAGTTCAACGTGCCTTGAGGATGTGAACTAGAACGTTGGTTGTAATCAATTCTATGCAGTTATACATTGGTTACAAAGTGTTCTTCTTAAGACTTTTGTAATTGTATATTTAAAGTAAGAGTCATATTATATGTTAGGGGGTTTGGAGTTTTTCTATAATATGGATTTTGATGATGTACGTATATGTTATGACCAGTAATGTAAATTTGGATTTCGAATGTGAAGATGTTATGAAACATTAATCTTGAAACATATATTCGTTGGACATATTGGAGTTAGATATGCAAGTTCTCTTGTTAAGAGGATTTATGGTCGGCTGTCATATGCCCTGAAATACCCAATTTCGCATATTTGTATTGTTTGTGCATAATAAAACTGATGTTACGCCTGGTATATGCATTGAAATACCCAATTCCATAAAGAAATTATACAAATAACTTGATTATAGTAGATTTGAGCGTTAAAGTTAAAGAAGTGCAGCTACATAGCTAGGAGACCATATGATTTTGACTAAAAAGATGTATACTGACTTCTGAGGAAATCATAAGCCATTGAATTAAACAAGGACAATATGGTATTAGTAAAACTACAGATTATTAATCATCTTTGTAATAAACCCAACTTTCTTTCTACCTGCATATATCAAACTTTCTTTCTACCTGCATATCATGTATAAATATCAAGGAGTGATATCGGATTATGTTTACATATACCATATATGTTTACATTTTCATGCACAAAGAATGGAGCCATGGAGAAATGTGGTAAGTTTTGCACAACTTTTTCAAAGAATTTTCTCTCAATTGAGCCTTAATTCTTCTTTCTGGTTATTTACTTAAGGAGATCTCATTTGAACCATAAATCTAACCAATCTTTTTAAAAATAAATAGTCCAAATCAATATTGCAAACTTTTGGTTCCTATTTTTTTAAAGCTGAAATGTCAGCTGATATATGGGGAAAGTTGCGATATATCGCCCAAAAATTGCCAAAAGGTGTAAAAGATATTGAAACCATATAGTTTTGTAGCAAGTCTTACATATCTACCAATTTATCAGTCATTTCGGTGATATTTAAAACAATGCTTATGATTTTGTTTCAATCTCTGATTGCCTCAGGTGCTAAACAAGCTTGAGAGTGTTTTTGAGATCTCAGCCTTGATTTTCCCCTTGTTTCTTTGTTGTTTTCTATTGGGAATGAAAAGTTCTGATCTTTGAATCCTACTTAGAATTTTATCTAAGTAGGGGTAAGGGAGGGAAAGTTGTAGACGTAGAAATTCACATCTTGAGGATGTGTATATTTAATGATTGAATCTTCTCCATGTCTTTGCAGAGTTAAAATTATGTTAGAATTAGCTTTCACACTCTTTTTTAGCTTTTTTCTGATGATTTTGTTGCTACAGACAAAATCAATAATTTCCCGTTCATTTTTGTATGTATCGGCAAAAGAAGATTTAGCGCTGTTTTGGAATTAGTACTTGCCATTGTCAGCCATTACAAAATGGCTGATACATCTCGGTTTCAGCTATTTTAATGTCGTCCAATAAAAAAATGGCTGATATATTTCTGGCATTTTAGGAGTAGATGGAGAGCTTCTTTTAGATGCTTAGCTTGGAATCATTAAAAATTTGACAAGTCGAAGCTTGTAGTAAATCACATAATTGAACAAACAGGAATAGCCTAATTTTTTGCACGTCTTATTTGTTTAACTTACTAATGGCAATAGTAAGATACTGCTTCAGGAGCCCTTGATTAAGATTTCTGATGGGCTCAATGGCTTAATATGGTCGGTTTTATTGTAACATTGCAAGTCATGTTTATTGCACCAGACTAATGTTTGGTTTGAGTAACTTTAAATGATTATTTGTCTTCAAGCAAAGGATCAAAGAACCTAAGAAAAGATCAAATTATTGCAGTTTTATTCAAAATTTATGCAACTCTTTTTTCATAAAACTTCAAAAAATGAGGTCCCAATCTAATCAAACGACACCGTCTGAAACTTCAGAAGCAAAAAACACAGGTAGGAATGCTAGTCAAATCTCAGACATCATCAGACCTTTTTAGGTATCAATGTAAAGTTTGAATTAGTCTTTTAAAAACTTTGAAAGTGTAATCCAAATCTAGCCAAACAAGACGCAAAAATATGATTTAGCCTTCGATGAAAATTTAAAATCACATTGAAAATAAAGTTCAGTCATTCTTTCTCATGATATGTAACGGTGTCAGTAGTTTTATGACTAAACTGAAGAGCCACACAAAGAACTTAAAAGTGTTAGAAATTTGCATTTGGGAAGTGCATGTTCTTTACATTTTGATTTGCTTGTTTCTCACATGAAAATGTTATCTAAAAGAAGCTCTCGATCTACTTTATGTAGTTACATCCTTGTTTCTTATCGATTTTACTAGTCTAACAAATAGGTACCGTCAGTCCTTTGGCGCTCCATCACACATGCACAAGTTACCTAAATCAATTCTCATTTTACCTTTTTGATTAGACTACCAATGTGCTCTTATTTCTTATCTTTTCACCGTTCTCATACAGTTTAATTAACTTCCATTTGAAGCACTCCTATGGCTATCTTGATCTACACCATCCAACAAAAAAAGCTTCTAGAATTGTAGTATTGTTGTGGAATTTCTTTTACTTTCTTTAGGTCAGTAACTTAGGATATCATGTCGCTAAACATTTTGGACTTGCATTTCAATTTGACATTATTGAGTTGTGCTACTTACATATATACATTACCTCCAGAAAACTTGTGGAATTTTCTGGAAAAATGCAGTTGTTGGATAAGATGATGGTGAAGTTGAAAGAGAAAGGACATAGAGTGCTTATTTATTCACAATTTCAGCATATGCTGGACTTATTGGAAGATTACTTAAGTTACAAGGTACTAGGAAGCCCTGCCTACCCTGCTTTTCATTTAATTATTACAGTAAATATTTTGCTTTTCCGGATTTCATGGTGCCAAAAGTTTTTAGCATTGCCAAAAGTTTTTAGCATTTAGATAATAGTTTCTTCTGCCTATTTGCAAGAAATGGAGCTACGAGCGGATTGATGGCAAGATCAGTGGAGCTGAAAGACAGATCCGAATTGATCGCTTCAACGCCAAGAATTCGACAAGATTTTGTTTTCTACTCTCTACCAGAGCTGGGGGGTTGGGAATAAATCTTGCAACTGCTGACACCGTTATCATATACGACAGGTAACAAATTTCTTGGAATCTTGACCGTGTAAGTCCAATGTGTCGTTATTTATATATAAATGCTCTTGGTAGCAGCTCATTTTTCATAAGCTTTACTATCTCTACCTTTTTCCAGTGATTGGAATCCACATGCAGATTTGCAAGCAATGGCCAGAGCCCATCGATTAGGCCAAATAAATAAGGTCTGACTAAGTCAATGATATACATGTTTACACAGGCATGTTGAGAAAACATTATTAAGTCGTGTTACTATTATACAGGTAATGATATATAGACTCATTACTCGGGGAACTATAGAAGAAAGAATGATGCAAATGACAAAGAAGAAGATGATCTTAGAGCATCTGGTTGTTGGTCGGCTTAAGGCACAACAAACTGTTAATCAGGTTCATTAAGCTGCTTCTCTAAGTTTATACTTCTAAGATGTTATAGGTCAGGAGCAACACATCATAATTATAAATGCCATTGTCCTACTGTTTTTTATCATGGTGATCTTACTGTAGCTGTGTTATTGATGATATTACTGTGTTATGTCGTGCTAAATTGGGCCTTCACAGGTAGTGTAATGTTTCCTGTGTTCAGGGGTGGCAATAAATAGGGCAGGAATGGGCAAAGTAGTTTACCCTTACCACAAGGGTATTTTGGAACTTCAAATGAAATGTACTCTCTCTATTGTAATGTCTCTGTGCTCAAATGTAGCAACAAATTCCACATTGTCACAAATGTCAGAACATAATTGTTTAGCTAGCTGACAAATGCAATTTTCTAAGTCATATGTAGGTTATTTAGAAAAATGATTGTGAAATATCACAGTGCTTGCTGATTATCTAATAATTTTATTTGCATCCATCAATTGACTGACTGCAAGCAGTTGAAAGTCTGGCGCAAAACATGATGCATAATATATACTTAATTTACTTGTAGTTGCCTCTTGTTCAAAAATTTGTAATGGGTAGCTATAAAAACTCATTGGCTATACCTGTTCTGTTTCATGTAAACAGGCAGAAAAACCTTATCATACCTATTCCTGCTAATCTATCTGTACAAACTCTGTAAAAAAAAGTTTGAGCCTTGTTCCCGTCCTTTCCCTCTGCAGGGCTATATTTGATGCTGACATGAAGTCTTATAGTTTTAATATATTTGAAATTTTGAATCTCTCTCTCATGTAAACATATAGCCTTGTTCCTGTCCTTTTCCCTCTGCAGGGCTATATTTGATCCTGACATGAAGTTTTATATTTTTAATATATTTGAATCTCTCTCTCATGTAAACATATATTGTAATCCATCTAAATCTAATTCTATTCAAATCTTGAGGAGTGTTATCAAATCTATACAGATCCAATAATCACCTGCTTGTAAATTCTCAATTATCTATTCTCGCATTTTTTAGAGTAATATATTTCTGCAAGTGTACTATTATGACGAGAGATTGCACATTTGGAAAGATCAGTTTGAAAATTTCCCCTCTTAGACTGAACTTTTTTGGAATATAGAGATTAGAGATACTTCACGGTGCTCTCAAATAAAGTACCAAAATAAATTATGATATAGAGGCCCTATAATTAGAATCTGAGCATGAAGTTAGAATTTCAGCTTAAGGAATATCATAAAAGAACAAAACTTCAAAATGGAATCTAATATATGTGTGTTTGTGTGTGTGTAGTGATCAATGTGTTAATTCTTTTTATCTTTCAATACACTAAACCTTGAAGTTCTCTTTTTGTCCAATTTTTGGTTGGACAATTGAATTGGAGCCATAATGGTTATACAAAAGAACTCCTTTGAGATAACATCACAGAAAAGTTCAGGAAAATGTTTACTGATCCAAATTTTATTGATACTTGGTATAATAAGCAACTAAGGCAATTGACCAACTTTATCATTTACTAGAAAGAGTTCACGAAAATCTTGTACAAAAATCTATCTTGCTAGTTGTACACTGCATGTACAAATTTAAACATAGACTAAACTTAGTTTAAATGTTTAGCCACCAATGTACAAATTTAACCATTGAACAGATTTAAGCATAGACAAAAGGTGGAGGTTGAGCTATTTTGGAGGCCCTGGAAGAAAAGACAAGCAGGCCTAATGGAAGCATGTACTTTAGGTTGCGGAGCTAGCCAAAAGGCCTGATGCACTGTTAATTAGTTGAAGGCCTTCCAAAGTGATTCAGAGCAGTAGAGAATGTGGACAAACTTTCTTCTTCCCTTAATCAACCAAGTTGAACTTTCAGGAAAGTCTATTAGACACATGCCTGAGGAGAGTAGGGAACTTCAATTGAATTTTAAATCTCTTATCTCCTTGTATCTTCATCTTGAAAACCCTGTAGGATCATGAGTGGATATGATCTTTAAGCATCACTAATGAGAGGTTAAAGCAGCCAATTGTTCAAACCCGTTCCTCGTGAACTTGGTAGGAGGTGGTTCTTCCTTGAACTATAACAATCCAAGGTGTAGTTCTTCTTCTTAGAGCATTATCTTTCCTCTCTCTTCACCAAGGTTTTAAATATCGGTTATCGGGGATTTATCGGATGGCCAAAATCCTTATCGGAAAGCGAAAATCGGGGATATATCGGGGATAAGTAGTATTTATCGGATTAATATACCGTATAATGCGTATATATAATATAATACCCCAAATTGTAATCTAACCATACTCCTCCCCCCGCTTTCATTCTCTCAACCTTCACTAAATAACTAGAGAAAAAACCAACTGAATAGTGAATATTATTTGTTGCTACAACTTCAGAAGTTGTGTTGAGGGCGTGACATCGATGGAGAGTCCAAGTCGAACTGTCGAAGTCACATTTGATGATGGCATCGATGGAGAGAGCTCGGCATCAATGGAGAGCTCAACGTCGGTCAACGTCATCGAGTCAATCAGATTAGTTGATGATGGCATTGATGGACAGAGCACAGCATCAATCGGAGTCGTCAAGTCGATGAAGTTAATGTTGATGAGAGAGCAGTGTCGAATGGTCGAAGTCAATAGCGTTAAGGTCAGCGGAGTCCAAAGAGGAGCGGAGGCGAGCGTCTAAGTCGGCAGAGGCGAGCGTCAAGGTCGACGGAGTCCAAAGAGAAACGCAGATCAGAGGATTAAGGCAGTGGGCACAACCGCACAAACGAGGGGGGAGAGAACAGATGATTAGGGTTACTTAATCGAGTTTAAGTTTTATTATAAAGAACGGGTTGTGTTGGGTTTCAAGTACACTCAAAAACTGCCCATTACCCACACAACCCAATAGTATGGCCTGATAATTCCGTTTTTTAAAACTGCTAATATCAATTAATAATCACCTTTATCACCGATAAACCCAAAAAAAGATAACCGATTTAAATTCTAACTTATCCTATCGGAAAGCTCCCAAAAGCGATAACTCGGGGATAATATCGGATTATCGGCCGATATTTAAAACCTTGCTCTTCACCCAAAGAATCCCAAAAATCAGCAAATAACCATACTACAATCTCAAGATAGGTACATGACCAAACCCATTGAAAACGGCTAGTACCCATATATTCCCTAACATGTATGTACCAAATGGAGAAACACATTGCTATTATAAATAATAATAAAGACTATGTGCTTAGTGGGGCCAACACTTCTCCATTTGAGGGGTCAAACTTTCAAAAGTTAAATTCAAGGGTGGTTCTCCCAAGCAGAGGAACTGAATGTTGGTCAATTTAAACTGGTCAAGAATTGAGTTATTTAAAAGTTTTAAGTTATGGATTCTATTTTATTTTTTGTAGTAAGGTTTATTTGTAATTTTATTTGGTTAGACCTGGAGTTGTGGTAAGTCTGCGGTTAGTTTTATAGGGAGTGTTGGATTCTTTCAGTTACCAGTTACACTTCTAATTTGAACTCTGTCTCGTATATATATTATATATTGTTTACTTCAATTCTAGTTAGATGGCTCGGTTATTAATTCTTTCTTGACCAGGGCTTCATTTTTTGTCGATTTTTGCTTTGGCAACACCTTTGTTGAAGTTTTCTCATTATTTTTCAATTTTTTTACTTCTTTTGTGGAAATGTCTTACCACACTAGTGTGAAAAGCTTTACTTTACCATTGCCAAGCTTACCTGTAATCCTGTACTCGCAATTTACTGATTCCATGCCATGATCTTAGATATTAGGATCTAAGGGAGAAATGTTCTTAGAATAATATATTACAATATTTGATTTTGAATGTTCACTCTAAGATAGACAGCACGTCGGACATCTGCTGTCCATGTAGCATAATTACTAATTAGGTCAGTTTTTAAATTTTTACATCTTTTACATAGTTGGTTTATGTTTAGCAAATGTATGCGCTGTAGACGGTAGAGTATCACCATTATACCTTTTTTTATAAAAAGATTTGTAACTGAAGAGGTGTTGTCTGTTTTATGTTAGACCATATATAGTTTTCTAACAATTATTTCCATGAAATTCCTATGCCGAAAAATTTTAATCTGATGTTGTAAAATTATATAGGGTTGGTTCACTGATAAGGCTTTAAATTGTTCTGTACTGTAATTTTTAGGAGGAGTTGGATGACATTATAAGATATGGGTCAAAGGAACTGTTTGCTGATGAAAACGATGAAAGTGGTAGAACACGCCAAATTCACTATGATGATGCAGCTATTGAAAGGTATCTTTACTTCTCTCAAATTCATGATTTGAATATATAATTTTATTGTAAGTGATCTTCATTGTACATTTGTACCTTCTGATAGACTACTTGATCGTGATCAAATTGATCGGGAGGAATCTTTGATCGATGAAGAGGATGATGGACTCTTGAAGGCCTTTAAGGTTCTATTTTGGTTTCTTCTTTCTTTGATTATGAGAAATAAATTTGTTCCTAATATTATGATATGTTTTATTATCACTGTTTTATTTGGTTTGCTTTCATAGCATATATCCTTGTTGTTATAAACTATTAAATATCCTTTCAAACTTTACTCCAATACAATGTCAGGATCAGGTGTAATCTAAAAGCAAAAAAAAAAAGGTCTTTATTGTGTAGTTGAACACTAAACTTGTGGGCTGTATGCTAACAATGCATATGTAGCATTTTGGACTCATATTAACTTTGGGCCACATTGAAAGGTCTCTGTAGAACGCTTGTGAATGCCAAGAAGTTGGCTGTTAGATATGTATATTTTTGAATGTAAATGTTGAGGTTGGAATCCTTACCCTTTTCCCTCTATCTTTTATGCACATCAAACATGAAATTATTTGAAAGAAGGTTGAATTCGGAGATACCTAAACAACAATAAATTCTTTTTTTACTTTATTATTATTGGATCGAAGTTGATACCTTACAAATCTTGAAAGATTTTTAAGGGATTTTTTTATAAGAATACCCAACTTTTAGATATTTGAGTAGAAGTAATGAGACAATCTTGATCTTACTGCTCTTTTATCTCTAATTGGAATTGGAATAGGCTCTTTATCAAATGGAACTACTAACCGAGGCAAGAAAGGAAGTCTCTGAGGATCTATCACATAAGTTTTATTCGTTAGGAACTTAAACTAACCTAGAAGCTCACTCTGAACACCATCTAGGATTTTTTCTTCTGTAATTGTGTTAGTCATGTAGCTTTTAACTCTAAATTTTAGTGGCACTCATTGCATTAAAATTTCTGAAATAGTCCCACAGGAACAATTTTTTTTACTGTTTATCATCCTTTTTTTGACCTCTACATGTTGGTGCCAAATTGTTGGCCTGGGTAACGATGAGCAAGGGAGGACCTGCCTTTAAAACCTTAACACTGGTTGGCAGGTTCGTTGACCTAGCTTATTTGGTCATGCAGTTAGGTCATGCAACATATGGAGTTGTCATCCAAACCCACCTAGGTGCTTGGAAGTGGTAAGATTTTAATTGTACTGTACAAAATTCATTTACTTGAGGCGAAAATAAAGTGTGAAGTCAAATGGAGTAGTGTTCCCATATGTTATTATTTAGCATGCTACTAATTATGTAATATTTGTGTTGCAATTCATCTAATTTAATGAAAGTCACAAAATTTTCTTTAGTAGTATAAAATCACGTTGTTAAAAAACAGTCTGGGTGTCCACCTAGGCGGAGACGGTACCTGGCTCTTGCAATTCAGAATTGAGCATCGCCGATTAAGTGTTGGGGGGTGCCTAAGAGAGCATGGGCTATTTAAGATGACCTGACCACGTCAAAAACAAGCATATGATGTAATTGTTGAAGAAATGATCGGGTAAAAGAGAATCGAGTTAAATCCTAAAATCCAAATCCAAATAAGATCAAACACCGATGTGATTATTTCAAAACTTGGAAAAGACCTCTTACTCTCTCTTTGAGTGTCTCCTCTCAACCTTTCCTTTCACTGCTAGAATTGCAGACTCGGAGACCCAACCATTGTCAAATCACCCTCCTATTAGTACTGAGACTTGCAAGAAGGTCATTTGTTAATTTATTTCTATTATAAATCTGTTTACAATAAATCACAATATAAAAATGATTTGCAACCAAATATTCAAACTCAAAAACTATGTTAACTAACAAGACAAACTATTTAAATAAATTAGTTACTCATTAATATTGTATACTAACTAGGATTAAGATCCTCTCCAATTACGTGGTAATTGGAGAGGTCCAATTCTCTCAATCCTTACTATCTCAATTCCAATGGATGAGGTCATGACACGTAAGACACTTCCACAAACATTGGTTTTGATTATAGTGGTTTTCAAGTTTACTAGTGATCTTCAAGACCATAGTGGTTTTTAAGATAACACTGAAAGCTTTACGTCGCATGATCTCATCCATTAAAAGTAATGTAGATGGTAAGGATTGAGAGAATTTGACCCTCTCGTTTTTACCACCTAACTGGAGAGGATTTGGATCCCACTAACTAACAACTACGACCATAAATTATTTAAGTGAAATTTCTAATTTTCAACTTCCAACATGTGACATGTTCTTACTTCTCAAGGGAAAGAATTGCAGTTGTAATCCTTCTAGTTCTAAATTATTGTAGTATTATCATAATATTTTAATTTCTAGAATATACTTCCTTGATGGAGTACACTTAAAAGTAACTTACCGTATAAGATAGGGCCGCCTCAAATCTCAAAATAGAGGTGAGGTGCGAAAGGGCCCTCTCCTCTCATGCCTAAGATGATTGCTGAGACGAGGCACCTTGTGCCTTTGGTGCCTCAAGCGCCTGCCTTTGTAACCTTCAGCGCTTGGCATATCACAAGGCGACAAGGTATACAATCCAAGCCCCTGAGGCTAAGGCGCGGTGCTTTTAAAACTGTTAAGATTCTTAACTTCTGAATGTTTTTGCTAAAGCTTTAATTTAATGTTTTAATATTTATGTGAAATGCTGAAATTCCTATTCTGGTCTGATAATCATGTGGGGCATTCATGTTGGTTTGCTAATGCACACTTTTAATTCAATATTCAGCTGTAGATTATCAGTAGTCATGATTCACTATTGTTATGTCTTCGCAGTTTCTTTATGAGTTCAGTTCCATTTTTTTATTCTATGTTGATGTTGGGATGTTTCTTGTGGACAAATTGCTTGTTCATTGATGAGGTGTTTATGTTTCAAATTGTCTTGTAGGTAGCAAATTTCGAATATATAGATGAAATTGAAGCTGCAGCTGCAGCTGCCAAAGAAGAGTTAGAAAGAAAGAAGTCTATCAATGAGAAGGCTTCTGGCTCCAACTCAGATAGATCAAATTACTGGGATGATTTACTGAAAGACAGATATGAGATCCATCAAGTTGAAGAGTTCACTGCTATGGGCAAGGGGAAGAGAAGTCGCAAACAAGTAATTGCATTTCCTTCTTTATCCTTTAAATAAATTATATTAGTTTTAACCAATGAGTCCTCTCACAGGTTTTTTAGAAATTTCCTTTTATTTGGTTATGACTCATAAAGTTTCATTATAATTAAGCTGGAAGTAGTAATACTTGTTTTCTTCCACTGGCATTTGTTTGTCTATTTCAATGCACGCATGCTTTTCATAAACTTTTATTTGTTCCATCACAATTTTGGTGCCTGTTAATTTATGATTGTCTTAAGAATCTGGATACCTATGTTTATCATGTATCTTAAGAACCAGCGGGTCCCGGTGCGTGCAGCTCGTATTGAACCTCCCTGTAAATGATGATATACATTTGATTTAGTGCATGGTTTAGAAATTTGTCTTTATTCTTGCAGACTAGAGCATCTTTCAAATATATCTTCCACGTCTGTTGGCAACTGTTGAATTATTAGCGTAAGTAGTAGCATATTGCAAGAACTCGCGTCCGACAATATGTCATGATGTGTTGTCGTCGATTCAAAAGCATAAGATCTCACAGCGATGTTAAATTGTAGCAGAGATCCTTAACAGAAAACTATCCTAAGAATTCAGTTTAGAAATTTTGCCTTTAGAATGACAAGTTAATTAGGTATTGCTCTGAGCAGATATATGTAGACGTAACTTTCTTGAATCAGTAATGGTATCCAAAAGCTATTTTTGCTTTTGGAAAATTTTGTTACCATTTTCCTGACCACTAGCTAAGTTATTCTGGTCAGAGCACCTTAGTGAAAGATTCAATGGGAAAGTTATCATTGTTATTTTTATGATGTTCAGAATGTGCTACTTTAGAGGTGTGCATAATGCTTGAGATAATTAAGTATGAAAACAATGATCACAGTTAAGTGAAAACCTTTAATTGCCTTCCTTTTTTGTGCTTTTTTTCTTCTGTTGTTGGTCGGAAACTGTTACTCTTATAGAGTTCAGGATTCCACAACATTATCAGTTTTGGTTGATGGAACTCTGTTTGAGTTTCCCATCAAGCATTAAAATTCTATGAAGATAATGGTAAGCATTTGAATTAAGCGTCACATTCACATTCTCATGAACATATAACCTTCTCTCTCTTCCTTGTCCTCGTGATGTAGTATATGAGGAGTTAAGGTAAGAGTACACTTGCAATGGCACAGGCCAGTACCTTTGCTTGCCATGGTTCATACATAGCTGTTCGAGTCCATTGTCCTCACCTCAGGACCTTGTTCTACGGTTCATTTAAGTAACAAAGATATCATAAACTAACATCATGCATGTCTTCCCGATCACAATTCCATAACGTCATTGATTCTCGTCCTATCTGACAAGTTACACTGTTAAGTTCCCTATCTGACAAGTTATAATGTCCATTGTCCTATCACAATGCCATTACCATCATTGATTTTTGTCTTATCTGACAAGTTACGCAGACATCATGCATGTCTCCCTGGTCATAACTCTACTCTCTAACCTCTTGTGAATGCTCTCATTTCTCATGCTATCTGGTAGTCTATATTCATTGGCCTAGTGTAGCATTCTCATTTTTGCTATACTCCTTTTTTCTCATGTTATTTCTTAATTGTCTAGCATTTGGACCCATGTAACATTGTTGGTCTTATATCTACGCTATAGAAGTTTTCCTTCAGTTTCATAGTTATTCTACAATCACATAATATTTAGAAGTCCCTCTACTTTAAACATCCTTATTTGATTCGATAAAACACATCATCTTCAATTTCACCATCTTGATGAATGATTAATCATAAATAGTGAATGTGTTAGTCCTAGGTATATCTTGACCGCAATATTTATGCTCATTCTTTTTCAGTGTATTTTTAATATTACGATCCATTATGTTTCTATTCTACTAATTCTAAATATATTAGATTTGAGAGCTTATCGTCATGGTTTTAAATGTCGGCCGACATGTCGGATCAGAGGCTGGAGCGACACGGATATGGCCATTTCAAGTCGGATATCATTTTCGAGGCCCATGTCGGACATATCAGGGGATATTGCGAACATATTGGGGGATATTGCAGTCATATCGGCTGATTTTTAGCCCTAAAAAATCAAAAATCAGCCGATTTATTTATTTATTTATTTTTTTGATTTGATAAGTATTGGAATTTGGTTTAATACTTAAAAGCCTAACCTGATTAATTCTTTTTTTAGCCTTTTGTTCCCATAGTAACCTGATAGCATATAATATAGATTAGGGTAAAGAAAAAAAATATTGCTCTCTTTCCCGCCGCGGACTCCTCTCGTTCGTCTTCGTCTTTACAAATCAAAATTGAGAATTCATAAAAGCGTGATGTAAACAATAAGTTTGAACTGTAGTTTGAAATCAATTCAAAATCTAACACTTTATGTCAATTTTATGCAAGGCACTTTACTTCATGTTAATTTTATGCAAAAAGCCCTAGTTTGACAATGTGTATTTTATTTATTTGTTGGCATAATATTCTAATGTTTCCGTTCAAGAAATGGAAAACAACTCATGTCTTGATGATGAATACTCAACTCAAATAGGATAAGCTATAACAAAACAAGTGCATTCCATCTTGGTGACCAAAATTAAGTAAAAATCCATCCGATATGGCAATCCGATATTTAGTATATGTCCCCCGACATATCCCCGATTTTTGCTATCCGACATGAATTTTAGCTGTCCGACATGAACCCGACATCCGACATTTAAAACCTTTCTTATCGTTGCGTTATTTATAAATTATTTCTTCCCACTTTAATCAATTAGTATTATGTTGTCTGCAAATTACACCATGGAGCTTTGTATTGAATGTCTCGTAAGTTTGTCCATAACTATGCAAAAAGAAATAGGCTTATTGACAGCTGATGTAAATTAATGACAATAGGCAACGGTTTGATCTCTCCTTCATTTGTTTTCACCCTAGTCATTACTTTATTCAACTTATCATCAAGGTTTTAAATATCGGATATCGGGGAAATATCGGATGGTCAAAATTCATATCGGATTGCGGATATCGGGGAAATATCGGGGATATGTGGTAAATATCAGACATAATGAATGTTTGCATACATAGTATAATGCATTAAAATGTAATCTCAACATATGTAATGAAATTTAAGCATACAAAATATGAATAATATATGTTTAGGATCACTAATCAACCTTCTAAAACAAACAAAAGTGCAAAGCAACGTTGTAACATTCGATCTGTTTTTTTAGGGCAAAATATCATTTGATATAATGGGAAAATCTTGATATCTCGCCCAAAAATTCCAAACACGGTATATTATTTTGCAACAAGCTTATAAAAAGATAAATTGGTCCACATATTGGCTAATATATTGGTCATATCGGGAATTTATCACTCAAAATAGCTAAAAAACGGGTAAAGGATATTTAAAGACCATATCGGTTGCGGCAAGCCCTGTAAAAGGATATATCGGGGGATATATCGGGCCATGTCGGGGATATTTAAAACAATGCTTATCATTATTTATACCTATTAGATACTTTCTCATTGATATACCTATTGGATACTTATTTCTTATCTTAAACCCACCACATCATCTCCTTCAACACTTTTTTTCTGGAATAATGAAAACCATATCAAAATGTAGATCCAATCTCTTCTCATCAATCATCTTAGCATATAAATGTGTTCTATAACTCTATCATTCGCTTTGATACTATCAATTTATTCTCTAGTGGATCTTCCTGGAATAAAACCAAATTAGTTCTCAGATTCACTTGTCTCATCTCTTATTCTTTGCTCAATTGCCCTCTTAAAATTTCATGTTGTGTCTCAAAAGTTTGATACGATGATAGTTTGGGTATTGAATAACTTTGTACATCTCCATTATTTTTATATATTGGTAGCAAAGTGCTAATTCTGAGCTCATAAAGCATTTTCTTAGTATCAATCGTTTGTTGAGTACTTTAGTCATTTATTCTAATCCCGTATATCGAAGGCATTACCAAGCTTCTTAGGAATGTAGTTGGTCCTTCCACCTTTTGTTATTGAAATATGACATGCTCAGTGTGTTCCAAAGCTAGTAACATCTATTCTACTTGATGTGTGCTAGGGTATCAGTGGGTCAAACTAATTCTGTACTCCATATGACTAGTATCTAGTTGTCTCGATGTATTTCTTCACCTTTAGCGACTGACTTGCTGAAATATCATGTAAGTCCAGATGTCGGTGTTTGTGCCATTAGTTTTCCAACAGTGGTAGATGTCTCTGGCAACATTTTGCTATTAGTTTGATTTTCCAATTATTTTTTCATAGTTTCCTTCTAGTTTGATGTCACGACTGAATGATTTCTCGCCATAAGTTACAAGTACTTTCTCCCTTTCCAAGATATTTTCCAAGCATAAGAATAGCATCTTTTGCTTTTTTAGCTTGTGGTGAAAAGTTGTTCACTGATTTAAAATGTTCTCTGAGTTGTAGAGGAATTGTTTCCTGTCTGTACTAAAATATTTTGCGCGCTCATTGCTTTTCATTCTCTGATCTTTTGTTGTGCTTACTCTCTTTGTAGAATCTTCCTTTTACCATAATGATCCTTTTTCTACCTACAACCTGTCTCTCTCCTTCTATCCATCAATATTTCGTAGCAGTTAGATGTAAATTATAGAGGTCTCTTTAATCTTTGACAAGTTCGCTGATGCTCTATGATGGGAGATAATTTAATGGCATAATCTCAATGAAGAGATGGAGAAGCTTTCTTTCCAAACCTTGACACAAATAGAGATCTCTAAATTTTAGAAACCTGTCATGATAAACAACTTTATTGGAAAAAACAGAGATTAAAGTCTACTACGCCCGAATGATGTGATAATCTTTTTTCTGCAAGCACTGTGCAATTTAACGTTTCACTCAAGTCAGCATCTTAATTATACTCAGGTGTTCTTAGTAACATTTCTCATCCATATGCTACTCAGTGATATTATTTCTTTAGCTAATTTTGAAATCATTGGCTTATCCACATTTACAAGAAATCGTTTTTGGAATGCAAAATGCAATTGCTGTGTTTTTTTTTCCTGATAAAGTCACTTACCTATAGGACTTCAGTATTGTGTCATGCATTCCCTGTTGAATCTATATTATCAGTGATCGCTGATATATTGGTATGCAATATTTATGCTTCAATGAACAGGAACTATCTTAACATTTGGTTCGAACGTTTAGGCTTTGACACCTAGTGAAGTTGGACTTCTTTACAAATCACAAAGCTAGACTCTCAGTAATGATTTACGTATATGTGATATTTATGCTCAAACTCATTGGATCTTTTTCTACAACAGTTTGTTCCAACTTTTTAGTCTTTGATATTTATTGAAGCTGTACACATTATTCAGAAATGCTGACTTGGTAGTTTAGGAACAGTTATAGCTTTATTATTATCATTGTTAATGGAGATATAAATCTTCAGGGATGTCCACAAGTCTTTTTAGATACAAGTGTTTTGATCTTATAACATTCATGAGGTAGTCCTTTTATGTAATATTTATTGACATGGTGGGTATTGCTACTAGTTTTTTCAAAAAGTTTTCATTTTATTGTCATGTAAGCTTTCTTGTTGTTTTCACTCTCTCATGTATCATATTGGATTCACGCAGATGGCAATGGCTGAGGAAGATGACCTAGCCGGTGTACAAGATGCAAGTTCTGAAGATGAGGATTACTCAGGTGAAGAAGATTTGTCAGATATTGAAATTGTTGTACCCGGAAATACATCAGGAAGAAGGGGCCGATTTTCAAAGAAACGACCTCGTGGTAATTTTATCACAAGTCAATATTTTGATGATAAAAAGCTTCTATATTTTAAATATGCCATAACTTTAATGTTTAATCTGTTCTTGGGATTCCAGCTGATTATGTTGAATCACTTCCTTTGATGGAAGGCGAAGGGAAGTCTTTAAGAATTCTTGGATTTAATCAGCTCCAAAGGGCGACCTTTTTGAAGACACTGATGAGGTTTTCCAACTCAATGTCCAACTTTCTTTTTTTATCTATTTATTCTAGTAAGTTGTTTTATGTCATCATACACTGTGTGTGGTTCTTCCTTGCCTCTTGTGACATCAGTAAAGAAGTTAGTCACATCTAAATGTTAACTGCAGTTGAATTTTAGCATGTTTAGGATATGTTGCAGTCCACATAATGCGTTTCCCTTCTTTATTAGAGTGTATTTTCATATACTATGCTAATTTACTGAGGCATCTCTCGTAATACTGCTTTTATATTGTCATGCACCCATAACATTGATATTTTCTTTTTTATGTTTTCCTTTCTCATCAGTATTTATCTTCAAATATGCTCATATATTGTGTATGGATTTCTTTTTTGTAGATTTGGCTTTGGTGACTATGACTGGAAAGAGTTTGTTCCTCGATTGAAGGGAAAAAGTTTTGAAGAAGTTCATGAGTATGTCATTCCTCGTCATGTCTATGACAAAATCTATCTTGTTTATCTAATATGTTTGAGATAAACTTGTTGTAATGGTGTATCATCATCATCTTCACTGCATTAGAACTAGCTTTGCACAATTTGGAAAAAATGATCTATAGAAGCTTCCCTTTTCTTGATGTTAATAATTAATGTTAGGACAACTATCATTTATTGTAAGGATCTCTGTTGAAAATGCCTTTTATTTAACTCATTATTCCACGTTCACAACAAGCCTTAAATTGTATAATAGTTTGAAATTACTCAAATAGGTTGTGACAATAATAGTGTACATCATTTCAATATAATGTACCTTATTTGGATATAAACATTGTCATTATTTAAACATAACATATGTTATTTAAATATCTAATAGTGTATGCTAAGAGTATTCTGATATAAGCTTTAATATTTATTTCAATGTAAACCTTAAACGTTATATAATAGATTGAAATAACTCAGGCACATCCTAACATTGTGCTATTACAAGTGAAATAATAATGTACATTATTTCACTATGACACGTTTTATCTCAATTTAACATACCTTAATTCAATATAACTTTAAGTGGAAGGATTAAGAGTATTTTTCTCTGTTTGCTTTTTGTAAAGACTTGATGTAGTTAAATATTTACTTTTAAATTGTTTGTTAAGCCTCAGTGGCTTCTTTCATCGTCATTATTGATAATTTGTGACATCATTATGCTTGTGATTGTGAACTTATAATTTGTGAAGAATGAAATGAATGTGACAATATGAAGGAGATATTTAAATTTGTGGTAATTTGTTTGAATATATATTGCGGTACTTGTTGTTAGTAAATTAGTAAAGATCGT